ACTGTCAGATGACACTTGAGACATTACTTGAACACTGTGATCCTGGTTTCTCACCTATAAAGTCAGAATGCTGATAATACTTTCCTCATAGAGTTATGTGAATTATAAATGAAGGAAGGTCTTAACAAGGTACATATCATATTACTCAGTAAGGAGGGGGTTTAGAAAAACACCCTGAAATAGTAACGATGAAAGTGACAGCAAGAACAATGACACTGCACTAATCATTTACGTAGATTATCTCATTTAATTTTAAAACAACAACGTAAGGTAAATACTGTTGTTCCCCCTATTTTAAAGATAAAGAATGTGAGACTTAGAGAGCTTAAGAAACTTGTTAATGTCACATAGCTAATAAAAGAGCAGGGGTTGACTAGGTGAAGGCAGCATCTATAATTATCATATTCTTATCCTTATCGTCACCATCAACTCATCCAGTGATCTCTTTAGCAGACTGGGCTAAAAGATGAGTTTTGGGGTACTTACAAAAATAATTGCCTCCCCTTGGAAGGAATCCAGACGAGCCCACAGTAAGCTAAATTCTGCGTTAGAGTAGGCTGTTACACAATTGCCAGGATTCATTCCAAGCACCTAGAAGGCACATGAAAGATGAATAGATAGAATTTGTCAGATTTCTCTCTACCTTAAACATATCCCAGTGTAATCAAGGGACCTGGGACAAAGCCATCTGTCTATACCTAAAGGCATTTTAAAAAAACACAACAACACATCATTACAATTAGCTCATCTGGTTGTCACTCTCAAGGGAATCAAACACAGACTCAACACTAGGCATTCACACTTCACATGAACTATGCTCCACATTGTTAATGAATGATAAAAATTAAAAGGATTTGAGTGTAAATATCTGAGTGAACAGTGAGAGTACCAAAAATGAAAAGGTAAGTTTAATCAAGTTGAATTATACAAATCCCTTTACTCAAAATTATTCACTCATTATTCCCTATTCAATGTTTTTAAAAATAAATGTACATTATTAATAAAGTACATTTTCCCTAAAATAATGTTTCAATGATTTATGATCATATAAGTATAATTATTTTAAATAATCATATAAAGGGTGGCAATTTCACAGAAACATCATAATATATTTAAATAAATCACAGAAAAGGAAACTATAATATTGATATAAATACATTCTCATTTTTTCAAAAACAAATGAAATGCTCTAAATTTTTTTTTAAAAAGAAGAGTCTATTGATTTTTAGAGAAAGAGGGAGGGAGAGGGAGAAACATAGACGTGAGAGCACAACATCAACTGACTGCCTCCTGCAGGTCCCCTAGGAGGCATCAGGGATGGAGCCCACAATCTGGACCTGTGCCCTTGACCAGAAATGGAACTGGCAACCTCCGGGTGCAGGGGATGATGGCTGACATCACACCGGCCCGAGCTGCTCTAGATTTCTCATAAGAGGAGTTTCTAATGTGCACAAATTACTTTTAACTTTTGTTTCAGAATTATCAACAAGACAGTCACATTTAAAGTAGGCTGTGAAAAAAAAAAAAAAAAGTACACTGTGATTTTTTTGTTTTAATTCCATTTAAAACATGACTTAATAAATGTTGTCCACTTATAAATTTAGACATATTCATAAAAATTGGAAGAATTACAAAGAGTAGTTGTACCTGAAGATTTAATATGCAATTTGATATTTCAAAGACTTGACACATAAAGCCAAATAACAGTAGAGCATTTCCTAACAAGACAATAAATGGAAATCACTTGAGTATGACATCTGGCGACTAGGGAAATATACCCAAAGCCATTAGATTGTGGAGTTTTCACATGTCAGTACTGTGCTTCCTCCCACATGACAATCACATTCCTCCCAATCTATATAGGAATTAAATCAAAAGTACGACCTCATCACCCCTAGCTACTTAGCAGCAATTCTCATTTCATTTCTTGACATACTTTAGGGTAAATCTCAGGTCAAGATCAGACACGTGGAAGGCTATCCTTTGAACAGACATTCTTTTTCTCCCCCTTTACCACATCCTTTTCATTAGGCCTCTGACTCAACCCTGGCCAATCAATGAGGAAGGAGAGAGGAAATCAATGTAAGGGAGTTGGGCAGGGAAGAAGGCAGGGATTTCTGTTACCCAGGAGACTCTATATTTTAAACGGGGTCATTGGTATATATATGCTCCCAGTTACAGAGTCATTATCTCCCTTGTTATAATTGTTTTCATTAGTGGAAATTTTTCATCAATAATTAAAGCCCAAGTGAAGATGCTAGGACCCTATCGCTTGAGATGAAATCTGGATTAAAACCAGAAAGACACTGGTTTTAATCCTTTCATACACCCCTCCCCCTTTTCCCTGAGGACTGGGAAAGGTCCTCAGTGCCTGTGAGCCTCTGGGTTGAGCTCTGTGATGGAGGAGGGCAGCACCTCCTTGTGATGTGATCAGAGGCTTAGCCCGAGCTTTTCACTTAAGGAGTGCTTATGGTCACAGTGACTTCTCCAATACCACTAATTACAACTGAAGGCCAGGGTGCAGGGCAGGGGCGCGGTGGTTTCCTGCCTGCCCAAGCCCTCTCTTCTCACCCAGAGCTGTCATTCTCCTCTGCAGGGTTTCCCCCTTCCTCACCACAGTCTGTGAAGCTTGGGCGGTCATCATTGCTAATCATTGATTAAAGTCATCCACACACAGTAATGAATAAGGCTCAACAGAACTGTGAACTCTTGCCGGTTTTCTTCATGGATCTATTTGAAGCACCTAGCATAGTGCCTAATACATAATGGAAATGTAAAAAAAAAATTTTTTTTAATTTGTGAAAGATCAGTAAAGATATAAATAAATGCAACGACACTTCGATTTTACCTTAAAAAATCACACAAAAATGAGATGGCCCAGTCATTGTGTTCATGGGGGGGAGCCTCTGACAATTCATCCTGAGTTTGAATTTGGACTGTATGACTGACCCAGTAATGTCTCTTCTGTGTCTCAGTTTCCCCATCTGTAAAATGGGTATTCTGGTACCTCATATTATTATGATTTTTTTAAAGGTACTAAATGAATAAATGACCTAAAATTACTGGCTTAAAATAAGCACTCAATAAGTACTGCGTGTTTTATCAAAACCTGGCATTTCAGTGAGGCAGGCACTGAGGCCCTGAAAGGTCCCACAGCCAGCTGGCAATGCAGAACTCAACAGCCACATCTCAAGGCGATCTCTGAAGAAGCTCTCAGAGTGTGTCAAGCTGCCTGCTCATTTCTTCATATAGACTTTCTAAAACTATTTACAAGGGGGGAGGAGGGTAGAGGGGATTGGATGTGGTTCATTCTCTCTTGCAAAGACTTTTGTGGAGGGGTGGGACGGAAGCAGCATTCCCAAGTGCCTGCTGGAAATGAAAAAAAACTTTGAATCCTGCCACACAAAGCAGATAATATAATAACTGCCTTAACCCTCGTTTTAGCAGACTTAGGCAAGTAGGCACTTTTGTTCTTTTTTGTTCCCTGAAATTGGGAGCACACAGATTCAGGGAAACGGGAATCGAATGCGGTAATCCTGGAGGCGTCTTCAGGATGAATACAATACAATATTCAGCCACCGACCTCACTTCCTCCTCCTGCCTCACCTCCCTCGGCTCCCTGCACTCCCCAGGGCTGGTGCCGGGGACCACGAGTGGCTCAGAGCCAGAGGAGCGAGGGTGGGGGCGGCCCCTCCTGCCTCAGCCACGGGGACGAAGCAGGAGCAGGTGGAGGGTGGAGACGAGGCCAGGAGCTCCTCCGAAGCGCTCAGCTGAGAGCACGGTTTTCCTCCAGGACCTGCCAAGCTGGACCCCAAGTGCAGACGGGAAAGAACCAGCGCAGCTACCTGAGCAGCGGCGCCCCCTGGCGCCTCCTGGATGGGCCAGGACGGCAGGTGAGTGCCCGTCCCTCCTCCCCACACATCCCGGTGTCCAACAGGTTGGCGGCCAGGAAGCCGCTCCCTCCCGGACAACACCTCCCGGCTCACCTGGACGCGCCGCCGGCTCCTCCCTGCACCCCGGCCTCGTCCCCATCACAGGGGACCCCAGCACCTCCGTCCTGGTCCCGGCTCCGCTGTGCGCGGGGCCCAGAACTCCCGCTCGGCTCTGCTCTCCTCCGGGGACTCGCAGCCACCGAGATGGCCAACCCGGGGGCGCGGCTGGAGCTGGCGATGGTGACCCCCTGAGCCTTCACCGAAAAGCCGTCACTCATGCTCCTGATGTCTCAGCCAGGAGGCCAAACCCGGAGAGAGCCGGGAGAGGGACATAGAGAGGGAGTGACCGTCAGACTAGGAGGAGAGTGAACGGGCGCAAATGAGGCGGCGCCCTGGCCCAGAGCCCCTGCCCCACGGCCCTCCTCCTCCCCACCCACCCCCCGCCCCCCATTCCCCAAGGGGGCACTCGCGGGGAGCCCCATGAAGCCGCCGCTGTAGGAGCAATCGGAAGGGACTGGGGCCCGGGTACCACTGCCCCTGCTTCCTGAACTTTCCGCCTGGGCGCCCTCCTGCAGGAGGGAGTCTTGCATTCTGCCGCCAAGAGTCACCTGGTCGTCTCCTCCTCCTCCTCCTTCTCCTCCTCCTTCTCCTCCTCCTCCTCCTCCTCCTCCTCCTCCTCCTCCTCCTCCTCCTCCTCCTCCTCCTCCTCCTCCTCCTCCTCCTGGACTCTACACCCACTCCCCACCCGCTGCCCCGCCAGTAACCAGGCTCTCCATCCCTGCACCTCGCCGCGGGCTCGGGATCTCCGTTACAAAGTCGGGGCGGGGGTGGGGGGGGGGGGTGTGCCCAAGTCTGGGGAGGCCGACCCTCCCTCCTCGCCTGCGCGCTCTGCCCTGGGATTTGCAGCCGCCGCCGCGCACTGGCAGCTCCGGAGCACCAAGGGGCGGAGAGGAGGGGTGCCCGGGTGGGAGGCAACCCCCTCGGCATCCCGGGGAAAGCCCAGCCGCCACCAGGGGCCGTGCCAAAGCCACCCCAACTCCGAGGCGCCTCCAGGCAGCGGCCGCGGGGATGGAGCTGCTGCCCCGGGGCCGGCCGGCGCCGCCGGACTCGCCGCCAGACAGCGTGTCGCTGGGCTCGCTGGAGTCCAGCGTGTTCTGCAGCGAGGGCGACGGGGCGCCCCCCGGGGCGGGGGACAGCCTCACGGTGAACGTGGGCGGCAGCCGCTTCGTGCTGTCGCAGCAGGCGCTGTCCTGCTTCCCGCACACGCGCCTGGGCAAGCTGGCCGAGCTGGTGGCCTCGTGCCGGCGCCCCGGGGCCCTGGCCGCCGCGCCCAGCCCGCTGGACTTCTGCGACGACGCCAACCCCGTGGACAACGAGTACTTCTTCGACCGGAGCTCGCAAGCCTTCCGCTACGTGCTGCACTACTACCGCACCGGCCGCCTGCACGTCATGGAGCAGCTGTGCGCGCTGTCCTTCCTGCAGGAGATCCAGTACTGGGGCATCGACGAGCTCAGCATCGACGCCTGCTGCAGGGACAGGTACCCAGAGGGACCGGCGGCTGGGCATCGGAGGGAGGGGCGCCAGAGGTGAAGATTGGGAGGGTTTGCGCAAGCCTCGCCAAACCCTGGCCTTAGGACCATTTGGCCACTTCTGAGCTGGAAGGTAGGGGGGAAAGGGGCTGGAAAGAGTCAGAGCCTACTCTTGGTTGGAACTTGTTGAACCTTCTTTTCATTGATTTTCTACAGAGAGGAAGAGAGAGGGGTAGAGAGTTAGAAACATTGACCAGCTGCCTCTTGCACACCCCCTACTGGGGATGTGCCTGAAACCAATGTATATGCCCTTGACCCAAAGCGAACCTGGGACCTTTCAGTCCACAGGCCAACGCTCTATCCACTGAGCCAAACTGGTTAGGGCTGAACCTTCTGTTTTAAATGAGCATTTGTCATTGCATTTATACCAAGGCAAGGGAGGCCAGGCCTGCCTGCAATAAATATTTGGTGATTAAATGAGTCACAAAAGCTATGCTCCAGAAGAGGCATGTAGAGAGATGTCAGTCTCACTGTGAAGTATTATCGTTTATCAAGCCTAGGACCCTCGTTGAAACACTTGGATGGGACTCTGTTTTAGACACACAAATAGGAAGTTGATTCCTTGGCTTTTATGACCGCTTTGCTGTTATCTTTCTGTTGCTGTCATTTCTTCACAAAATCCCTTTCCATCACACACAAAGTTCCATGCTGGCAAACTCCAGTTTCTGTTGCAAAGAAGATGAGTAAGAATGCGTTGAGGCAGCTTTGCTCTGCATAAATCCTTTTGTATAAACTTCTACCACAAAATTGCCACTTTAAAAATAATAAGCCTAAATGATAAAGATAGAATACTGTAGGCAGGAGACAGCCTGGGTGAGATAGGAATGGGCATTTTCTGCCTTTCACTAAAATAAGAAGCATCACCTCACGACCACGTTTGATTCTCTTTTATACTTGTGTAGTTAAAAAAAAAAAAAGTTGACTAATCACGAAGTTGTCTTCTCTAAAAGATACTTCAGGAGGAAAGAGCTGAGTGAGACCTTAGACTTCAAGAAGGACACCGAAGACCAGGAGAGTCAACACGAGAGCGAGCAAGACTTCTCACAAGGACCTTGTCCCACCGTCCGCCAGAAGCTCTGGGACATCCTGGAGAAGCCCAGGTCGTCCACCGCCTCCCGCGTCTTCGGGGTCATCTCCATCATCTTCGTGGCCGTGTCCATCGTCAACATGGCCCTGATGTCGGCGGAGCTGAGCTGGCTGGACCTGCAGGTGCTGGAGATCCTGGAGTACTTCTGCATCAGCTGGTTCACCGGGGAGTTCGCCCTGCGCTTCCTGTGCGTGCGGGACAGGTGCGGCTTCCTCAGGAAGGTGCCAAACATCATAGACCTGCTGGCCATCCTGCCCTTTTACATCACCCTTCTGGTGGAGAGCCTGAGTGGGAGCGAGACCACGCAGGATCTGGAAAACGTGGGGCGCATCGTCCAGGTCTTGAGGCTGCTCAGGGCTCTGCGCATGCTAAAGCTGGGCAGGCACTCTACAGGTATTCGGATCTCATTGATGTATTTCAGCTCGTTGTTATTTTTTTTAGGCATCCGGGGGTTTGGGCCCACGTTCCAAGGGAAGCGACTCTGCATTGACACGCAAAGTACCAACTCCCATGCCCACCCAACCATGACCTCCAAAAAGTTATTGGGAAGCAGAACCTCAAAGTTGTTATCACAGCTACAAAGGAAACTGTGCTCTCACACTCTCTCCCCTCAAGGCAGTGGAGATATAATTTGACTTGTTCACCTCAATTTGGTTTAACCCTGTGCCCAGAAAAGACTATATAAGTATATATATTTAAAATACTAAAGACATTGCCTCTAGAATGTGCCAAATATGCATAAGCAGCACATAAAATTACATGCCTAGGTTACATATGAGATTTAGGGACATAAGCCAGTTTCTCTTCGGTGTCCACACATGTTCTTTGGCAGGAGAGAAATCCTTGCCCTGCTGAGGCTTCACTGCCTACACAGGAAGAGAGAGGACCAGGCGCTGGTGGCCTTCTGGGAAGGTTTTAAGAAACAATGGAAATATTTTGGGGGGAGTAAGCAGAAGGCACTAATTCATCTGGTATCTGAGAATTTTCTTGACTGGGATGCATGAGAGAGGTGGGAACAAGAACTCCTTAGCTTTTTGTGTGTAGGATAAAGCCTAGGTAATCAGGGCAGTGATTCTCAGAGGCCAGCCCTGCTCCTGTTGGACGCTCTGGACTACATACGTTACCTTCTGTTAGACTTTAATGCAAAGAGGAAGCCCATGAAAATCTTCTTATGAGGCAGATTCTTAGCCCAGTCTTTAGAGAGTCTGATGCTAGTATTTGGGGACCAGGATCAAACATTTTAACAAGCTCACAAGTAATTTTGATGTAGGTGGTCCTTGGACTTGAACAAAAACCTTGGCATTATCATCATGGGAATAGAATAAGAAACAACTGGAGTAGAATGCTATATTATCATACATACTAATGCATTGCATGTGAATACAAATAATTGGGCTAGAGAGTCCTTTATTACCTTATTTCTCTAGATATATGCCTGGTAGATCACCTAAGCGAAGTTTATGATAATTGTTTCTCCTTATAGAGAGAAATTAACCTCAGATATCTTTTCACATCTCTAAAGTAATTGGGACTTATCTTAATATAATTTTGGTAGTGTGTTTTCCTAGCTAATCTCACTACCAAGGATTTGATAATGGGGTTACCAACAACTTTTAGAAGTACTACCCTTTGTTTTCTGACACACATAATAGGCTGCTTGCTTCTAGTATTTATAAACTCTTCACAGGATTCAATTTAAAAACACCCAGTAAAGACTACATTTTTTCCCAAAAGAAAGGAAAAAGAAAATAATAGTAATTTCTGCAGTGTCACCTCTTCAAAGATTTTTTTCAGTTCTAAAGTATTAATGGAATCTTCTTTTATTGAAAAGATATGGACACTTGAACAAATACTGGACAATTTTAACCTAAGCATAACATTTAGAAAAATACAGGCATAGATAACATATTGCCCTATGTAATAACTATAAGTACAAATTGAAAGGTATTTTTGCAATAAGTTAGAGCAATGGTAGACCAGAGAGCCCAGATTTAAGTCCTGGCTCTGTAGCCTTGTACTAGAGATTCCTGTCTATGCCTCAGTCTTCTTGTGTGTAAAAAATAATAATACTTACAACATCTATCGCCTATTTTTTTTTAATAATAATCTGAGTTAATAGATGTAACATGAAGAAGTTCAGACCACTTTATAAAATTGTTTGGGACAGTGGTCGGCAAACTCATTAGTTAACAGAGCCAAATATCAACAGTAACAATGATTGAAATTTCTTTTGAGGGTCAGATTTTTTCAACTTAAACTTCTTCTAACACCACTTCTTCAAAATAGACTCACCAAGGCCATGGTATTTTGTGCAAGAGTCATTCTCTGGCCAAAGAGCCGAATGTGGCTCACAAGCTGCAGTTTGTCGACCACTGGTTTAGATTTCATCTTGAAATGAAAACAGTCTATGCCCCAAACACTATATGCTTTTCCTCATACGCTGTCCATTTATTTCAGAAATACAACTCAATACAGACACCTCAAGGCCAATTCTCTAAAATGTATTCTGAAGATATTCTTTAAAAAGTTTTCTTTTTAAGTTAAGCCTCGAAATTAACATCCACTGATCTGAAAACATAGCTGGTAAATAATCCAAGAGTATCTTAACATGTTAAGAACAAAATTCAAAATAACGAGAGCATCACCGGCATTTTAACGCATCTCAAGTAGTCTCTGGTGAGTGAATAAAAATTTTACGTGATTCTAAGAGGAGTTGCTTTGGACTTTGGAGACAATATCAGCGTGACAGCAGGTTGATATGGCTTCAACATGTACATACACACTTAGCAGTGTCTCTCTAGTGTTGGGGAAGATGCCTTATTCAAATAACAGCCCCATTACAGTCGTATCTTACTCTCCCTAAGGCTCACTCTCTTCAAGAGATGGGAATGGCCTCCCTTGAGTCTGTCTCCCAAGGGCCCAATGAATCCTCAGAACAGCAATGAGGAATTCACCAATGAGTGCATTTCCTAATGGCTCCACTCCTCCATACCTTTTTGCAATGGAGGGATAGTCTATAGTCAGGTCTGCTTCCTTACAAGAATGCAGAAATTCTACGTACTGAAAGGAAGTATTTTCCTGGAGCTTTCGTGTGAAGGACTAGAATCTCAATGGCTGGCGTGGGAGTTCAGGAAGCCCCTCCTGGCTGACCTCTAAGATCATCCTCTGAATGTGCATTTGATGTTCTGACCTCGGTTGTGTCACTGATGCCCAACTTGCTTCGCTTCGTTCTCCTGGCGTTATGTCCTTTACTGCCTCTGGCTTTCAGATAATGATGCGCTCGTTGTGTTAAATGTTATTGGGAGGGTGAGAAAAGTAGGCAGCATAAAATTGGCATGAGAAAAGTGTGTTAAAGTCGGGCACTAGTCTAACCTAGTGAGCACTCCCACCCAACACTGCAAAGACCTCCCATTGTACAGACTCACGTACACATTCCAATCATACACCCCTCCCTGCTTTTTTATTCCGTAACTCACTTTTTTTCTGTATAAATAGTAGGTGTTTAACAAGTACTCACATGAGTGAATGGGTCTAATTATATTTCTTTTTATCCTTCTCAATCCAGCCCCATCAACTAGACTATGAGCTTCCTAAAGACAAGGATTATGATTTGCCATCCATGTACCCTAGAACATTGCCCAGTACTGGAGACCTAGCAGATATGAAATGCGTGTTTGTGGGGAGATAGCAGGGAAGGGAAAGAAGGGTGGGAGGAGGAAAGAGGAGGGGAGGGGTACCCGTGACTGACAGCAAATGTTCTGTTACAGGATTACGCTCCCTTGGAATGACAATCACCCAGTGTTATGAAGAAGTCGGCCTACTGCTCCTATTTCTGTCTGTGGGGATTTCTATCTTCTCCACGGTGGAATATTTTGCTGAGCAAAGCATCCCTGACACAACCTTCACAAGTGTCCCTTGTGCGTGGTGGTGGGCTACCACATCCATGACTACGGTGGGCTATGGGGACATTAGACCAGACACCACCACAGGCAAAATCGTGGCCTTCATGTGTATCTTATCAGGAATCCTCGTCTTGGCTCTGCCTATTGCTATTATTAACGACCGCTTCTCTGCTTGCTATTTTACCTTGAAGCTCAAGGAAGCAGCTGCCAGACAGCATGAGGCTCTGAAGAAGCTCACCAAGAACATAGCCACGGACTCATATATCAGCATGAACTTGAGAGATATCTATGCCCGCAGCATCATGGAGATGCTCCGACTAAAAGGCAGGGAAAGAGCAAGCACCAGGAGCAGTGGAGGAGATGATTTCTGGTTCTGAATTCACTTTCATTTAGTTTATTTACAGAAGCTTCTGTAAAACTAATTCAATCTATAAAGCCTTGATATGGTTGTCTGTGTACTGCTGTGGAGTCTCTTTTGAGTACTCCCTGTGTTCATTTTTGCTGATACATTGCTTAGTTTGCTAGGATAGTTCATAAGTCCCCAACAACTGTATTTTGATACACTTGAGTCTCAAAAATAACCATCTAACACAACCCAATACAACTAGACCAATATAACATGTCAGAATTGGCAAATATAAAATATTGCAATACATGCAAGAGTTAAAAGTTTTATGCATCACTAATTTTGTTTGTTGTAGTACTAATTTTAAAAAAAAGAAAAGAATGTTAAACTGCCAAGCCCAGAGAAAAGAATAGTGAACATTTAAGAGTACACTAAACAATTTTGTTATTTAAAGATATTCCCCAAGTAAATAAATCATGCCTTTCTTCATCCACTAAAGCTGTTGAATACAACTATTACCTTTACAAGAGAAAAATCCTGATCTGTTGGTCATTTCTTCCCCTGGTGCATACCCTAGTCACAAATGGACTGAGCTCTGTATTCCACCATTGTTACCATAGATGGGACTCTCAACTGCTTACACTTCAGTAAAAGAATGCCACACAGTGGCTTTAAGAATCACACTTCTTCATCCTCCCACTGAGGGCTATATGTTGAGTGTAAAGCAGATATCTCTTAGTATTCCATGGAAATTAGATGGTCTTTAAACATATCTTTATCAATGTAGTGTTCAAGTTATGTCTTTAAAAACATGAACATGTTAAAATGTAGTGAACATTTTAAATTTATATACTGAAATCATTAATTAGTCTTATTTTATGAAATGAGAATCATATGTTGAGTGATACCACTGGATCCACTTGAAGATCTTTTATTTGTTAAAAAAACATTATGGATGACTGACTATAGGGTAAATAACAAATGTTCAAACGTTGCATGCATTTTTACAGCATTTGGACATTCATGATAATAATAAAATTCTAAGACATTCTGTCATATAATTAAAGCCAAGAGTCTAAACCTAATAATTAGTTCATGTTTCCCAATATTCAGTAAGAGAAATTTTTAAAACTAAGTATAATATGGAGTATCACTTTAATACCTGTATTCTCAGTGGGTGTAACAGTGCCAACAATGGGATGAAAATAGATTCTTGCAGGGCAAAAGTATCCTATTCTTTATTCATAAACCACATGTATGTGTATAATAAATTAAAAGATAAAGAGTATACCTATGGTATTAAAATTTAATGGGGTAGGAAATTAGAAAAAAAAATGGCTAAGAGCTTCTTGCCAAGGTTGGATGGTGATAAGAAATAAATATGGAGCAACACTGCTTTAACGTGTGACTATATCATATTTTATCAATTATAATGAAATTCTATTATATGATGGACTGCAAAGAAGAAGGAAGGAAGGAAGGAAGGAAGGAAGGAAGGAAGGAAGGAAGGAAGGAAGGAAGGAAGGAAGGAAGGAAGAAAGGGAGGGAGGGAAAGAAAAGAGGGAGGGAGGGAGGAAAAAAGAAAGGGAGAGAGGGAGGGAGGGAAGGAAAAAAAAGGGAGTAAAAATGAGAACCCAATCAAGTATACTAGTAAGACGCCATTGAGTATAAAATGCATCCAGAGTTGGGAAATGTAAAAATTTAAAGTATGCATATTAAAATTAATGAACTATCATATATACTACCTCTGGTTTTCTGATATGCATTCTTAAGCCCTAAAAACATTTTTATTGATGGCATGAGTTTTAGATTATATGGCTAGAATATTTTAATTCACTTGGTTTGTTACCACTTCTCCTAAATTTTGTGATTTAGGAGTTATGAGTAATTTTGTGATTTAGGAGTTATGAGTAAAAAAATAAACATTTTGTTTTACACAATTTCCAGTGCTAAAGCATGCCATAGTGCCACTAGTTAAATCCCATTCACAATCTGAAGGGGAAATAGAGGTTGGACATAGAAGGCAAACTTACCCAGGCTTCTCTGGAACTCTGCTCAATAAGAATAGTTACTTTAATCTAGGACTTCTATACTCATTATGTATCATGTCACTTTAGCCTCACAATATCCCTATTATACATTTGCTATTCTTGTAGTTGGTATACTTATTCATTCAACAATACTTGTTCAGAATCCATCTGTGTATTAATACTAGCCCTAGAGATTATTTGTTGAACCACATTAAGTCCTGTTCTCTTGTATTTAATATTCTATTCGAAGGTTTGAGGGGAATATAGATGGCAAAACCGAGGCATAAGCTGAAGTAACTTGTCCACATTCATACAGTCCATACACAGCTGAAAGAGCCAGGAATGAATCCCAATCTGCTGGAAATGATACTCCTAAAGGTCACATTATAGATTTCATATCTCCAATAGCCTATTTGTAGGGTATTGATGTCTTAGGCAGACAAGCCAATTTCTTATAGGTGAAGAGGTTTAATATGTCCTCAGAAAAGAAATCAGCTTATTCTCAGAGATGGAATGGTGCTTTTAAGGAAAAGTTGCTCTCACACCTTATAATCATTATGAAAGAGGACAAACATTATCTTTAGAATAATTAAGTTGGAAAATGGAAAAAAAAAACTATGTTTTATGTAGTTTTTGTACTAAACATATATGTTATGGATGTTTCAAAGAAATTTTTAAATATGTTTATTCAGCTTTGTTGTTAAAATACCAGTAGAGTTATTCAACACATGCACATACCAGTATAAGCAAACCAAATTTAAGTAACAAAACAAAGCAGAAACTCTGTTAATCTTATATCCAATAATTTAAAAATATTTGACATTTTTAAAATCTAAGAATTATTGCTACAAAACAATATTCACTTTTTGGTAAGATAAATAATGGAATTACTGGCTTTCTGTAAGCTCTGAGAATACTAATTAAAACATTTGAGTGTACATTTTTAAAAGAGCTATTTTAAGAAAAGACTGAGGTATCTCTGGTAGAAAAGGCATCATGTTCATGTTTTCTTGTTTTTCCAATATATACAAGAAATTATTTCATTTGTCATCTTAATGAAAATTAGTATTAAGTCCAATGTCTGAGATGCACAAAGAAATTAACTGAGGTAGAGATCTCAGTGCTGTGTTTCCCTGTGGAATTTTTCTTACTGTCATTAAAATCTTTTTATTACCTCTTGCAGAAAATATACATGTTGGCCCAAGGTATCTAAGCAAAACATCATCGGCAAATTTACTGATTGGACAAATATTTCTACTGATACACTTTGATTACATGAAAAGTCTGCTCTTTGGAAATATTAGCCATGAATATCTCTGTCTTATCAGTCTTTCCATTCAGTTTCAAGAAGATATTGGTTGACTGCTGATGTGGCCCAGTGCTTCCGTTTGTTGGTTTCCTTAACAAAGCACCCCCATGCCCAAACCTCTCTCCAAGCCATACTGATATGTATAATAGCATTAAAATGTCACACAAGGAGAGTTTTACTCACAAACACCACTGGCAATTGTTTACATGGTACGTCTTCAGGGGGAATGAGATAACCTGGATGCTCACCATCTTCATGCCTTTACTTGCCTTGTATTAAAGTAATCCTCTTATCTACCTCCTCAGCTCCATTGCCTTGTGGTCCTTCTTGCCATACCATTGATGAAACCCAAACCCTCCTACAATTCAATCCAGTGCCTATGTGTGCCTGCCCCTGAAGAGCTGATCATGATAACAGAAAAAACAATGTATGCTGACTGCTCTCCTTTCACATTCATGGCTTCTTAATGCTGCTAGGCAATCATCCTGCTATTTCAGAATCTATCCCCTCTCTCTCAGTAAATATAAACCTCTAACACCTCCCTGTGATTCCACTTCACTTAGAAAATAGAATCAGAAGAGCTTTGCTACAAGGGCTGCTACCTGCGTTTATCTGTGTTTACCCAGATGTGCCTTTCCACCTAGAATTAGGATGAAACTGTCCGTCCTGTCCCTTCTTTGCAATTCTAGAACATTGCTTCAGAAAGGCCTTTCCCTCTCACTATGCCACCATCACGTTCCCTACCGGATTGCTCCTAGCAGCATAAAAACATGATTTTATTTTTCCCATCTTAAACACAAAAGCCAGCAAACAAACTTCTTGAATCTACTTCAGTCTTGAGGAAACATCGGATTCCAGGCTCTCCATTTTGGCAAAACTCCTTGACAGTATTTTCTATAGTCACTCTCTACATTTTTATATTCACTTCCTTTCCTATTCCTTTTTGAAAAGCCTCTTCAAGTCCGCAATTACCCCATCAGTGCTAGACCCAATAGTCAGTTCCCATACTTTATATTGCTGGATCCACTGGCAGCATTTACAAGGATAATTGTAAGCTCTACCTTGAAACACTTTCTTCAGTTGTCTCCCAGCCCATCACACTCTCCTGATTTCCCCCTCCCCCCACTGCTCAGTCATCTTTTCTGGCTGAAGTGGTCAGTCAATCCTAGTCCTCATCTCCTCTCTATTCGCATTGTTCTCTTGATAAAGTCATCCTGCTTCAATTGTGCTAACTGTACAAACCTCAATAAAAAACAGTAAATTTCAACAAGTTAATTTTAATGATATCCCTGGAAAAGAAAGATTTAAAATGTCAACATGGAAAAGTAATTGGAAATACAGCAAACTGACTTGTTAAAATAGCCCAAGCCCAGCTGGTGTAGATCAGTGGTTGACCTATGAACCAGGAGGTCACAGTTCAGTTCTGGTCAGGACACATGCCCAGGTTGTAAGATCAATCCCCATGTAGGAGGCAGCCGATCAATGAGTCTCTCTTATCATTGATGTTTCTGTCTCCCTCTCTCTCTCCCTTCCTCTCTAAAATTAATAAAAATATTTTTAAATCCCTAAAATATATGCAAAGAAAAAATATTAATTTAAATAATTTCTTTTCTATAGCTGCTCATAAATAAAGGGTATTTTTACTATTAATATATCATTTGAACAGCTTCCTAAAGAATCATTCCTACAGTA